CACGGAAAAATATTTTAGGATTGACAAATATTATAAATAGACAACAGCTATGTTGCCACTTTTCTCACTTCTTTTTGTGAAGAAACATCAGAGATTTATAATTTTTAGCTTTTGGCATCGTCGCGAAAAGACGCTTGTAGGCAAGGGCATGATCGGGGAGATGCAATGGTGTTTGCTGTTATGAATGACGCGAGTTGCCTGTTAAAAGTGCGCTTGGGTTCGTGAATGAAAATGTTGTTGTTGTGTGTTTTTCTACAAATTCGGGCATCGACTATTTAGCTGCCATATTGACTTGTTACGCGGCTGATACTATTTGAGACAATTGTTCTTTTTGTAAAACAATGTTTATAGTGTATATCTGTATCTGTATGTAAGTTTGTGTATACATTATTTGTGTGCGAATGTCATGCGAGCATATTTATATATGAGCAGCGCGCACATGTTATTATTGATAAGTGATAATATGATTTGATTTCGCGAAAGCGAACATAAACACATATGTGTGGTCATGATACATTTATCACTATTGTAATATATTTAATTTTGTTAATATTTGGAGGATGGAGTCATGTGTAGCAGTTCACGCAAGTGAAGAAAGTTCACTTGGAGTGGCCAGAAACGATTCTTTTACATATGACTCAAGCAGCTCACGACTTCCAGTCCTTGACCAAGTACCCTCTATGTAGCCTAAGAACATCCGTTTGAAGGCGATCTAAAGTGAGAAGGCGAAACATCCCATAGGGTTGTCCGCTGGGTTTGGGACTCGCCAGGTAAAAAAAAACTCCCCCTACGACAAAACAACAGCAGCCTCGGAAGAGAGATCCCACTTTTGATGACGACCATTGTAAATGAAATAAGGACTACGAATTGAGGGCATGCACCTGGGATGTCCGATCCCTTAATTGAAAGGTGCCGCTGTCCAGCTGGTTGATGTCCTCGTAAAAATAAGGGCTGACATCACCACCGTCCAAGAAATGCGATGGACGGGACTAGGACAGAGACAAGTACTTCCTTGTGGCATTTACTACAATGGCCATATAAAGGAGCGCAAATTTGGTGAGGGATTCGTGGTGGCTGATTTGCGCCCACGCCCCGACAGAAGAGAAGGACGATGCGACCAAAGCTGCCTTTTATGAGTGGTTGAAGCGCACTTATGAGAGCTGCCCCCGTGCTTGGCGACTTTAACGCCAGGGTGGGCAAAGAAGGTATCTTTGGCACTACGGTCTGTAAAATCAGCTTCCACGAGGAAACATCCCCAAATGGGTTGAGGCTGATCGGCTTCGCTGGGGCCCGAAATATGGTTATCTGTAGCACTATATTGCAGCATAAGAAGATTCATCAAGGCTGTCTCCGGATCGAAAAACTACCAACCAAATCGATCATGTTGTGATAGACGGAAGACACGTCTCCAGTGGTTTAGATGTGCGTGCTATCCGAGGTCCTAACATCGACTCGGACCACTATATTGTTGCAGCCAAAATTCGCACCCGTCTCTGTGCAGTAAAAACCGCACGCCAACAAACACAAGGAAGGTTCGACGTCGCGAAGCTGCAATCACAACTGACAGCCGAACGATTTTCTACTCGGCTTGCACTCCTGCTCTCTGAGAGCACTCGTCAACAACTCGGTATAAGGGAATTGTGGGACGGCATTTCAAACTCCTTACATACAGCCGCAACCGAACCCATTGGTTTTCGGAAAGTGCAAAAGAACAGCTGGTAGGACGAGGAGTGCCCTGTCGCAGCGGAGAGAAAACAGGCTGCCTACCTCGCAACGTTACGATCGACCACAACACGTGCGGGATGGGATAGATACCGAGAGTTGAAGAGGGAAGCAAGACGCATTTGCAGACAGAAGAAGGAGGCCGAAATGCGTGAGTACGAAGAGCTTGATAAGCTGGCCGACATGGGTAATGCTCGAAAATTCTACGAAAAAATGCGGCGGCTTACAGAAGGTTATAAGACCGGAGCATACTCTTGTAGAACCCCCAAAGGTGATGTAGTCACTGATGCCCATAGCATACTTAAATTATGGAGGGAACACTTCTCCAACCTGCTGAGTGGCAGTGAACGCGCAACGTCAGGAGAAGGCGAACCCGATTCCCCAATCGATGACGATGGAGCAGACGTTCCAACCATGAAGAAGTTCGAATAGCAATTGCCCGCCTGAAAAACAACAAGTGTCCGAGCTATTCAAACACGGCGGCGAAGAGCTGATAAGGAGCATGCATCAGCTTCTTTGCAAATTTGCAAAATATGATTGGACAAAAGTATGCCCAAAGATTGGAATTTAAGTGTGCTATGCCCAATCCATAAAAAACTACCGTGGGATTAGCCTCCTCAACAACGCATATAAGGTTCTGTCGAGCGTATTGTGTGAAAGATTAAAGCCCACCGTCAACAAACTAATTGGACCTTATCAGTGTGGCTTTAGACCTGTAGAAGGACCTGGCTTCACTTGGAATATTTAATTGGCGCCACGTAGCGAAAAGAAGAAACGACTGGCGCGCGGTTGTTAACTTGGCTATAATCGCGTAAGCGTTGACTACGCCAATTAAGAAAAAGAATATGATACATATATAATGAAGTATACACATAAGAATGAATATATCAAATACAAGAAATAATTAAAAAATAGACCTTATTTTCACATTAACTACGAGTATTGCTTTGAAAAAGTTAAGTAATTCAAATGTATTCAATTGCACCTTTATTCATATATGTATGTACATATACGCTCAAAAAAATTCATATGAATACACATGTTTGCATATAAACGTACAAAAATATAAGAAAAAGAGCTAACATACGTCTGTAACAGCAATATATAGTTCTAAGCATAATTTTATTCAATGTTTAGCTCTGTTCAAGTGCAACTGTTAAGATTTCTCCTGCCGAGTTGGCAGTGGTGAAACTCCCTCATCTCGACCGAGTTAGCCAAAAATATTTTTACGTTCTCCGCGCCGTGAACCTTCTCTATGATAAACGTTTGCACGGCCTGTATCGCCACGGCGACAGTCATATCTATATGGGTATATGCCATTAATATCGTTCCTCCAAGAAGAATTTCAGTTAGAAATAAACAACAATCCGAGAGAATGTACTACAAGATATCGAACAAAAATTGATGGTGTATTTATTAGATATCTTAATATTGTGATGTCTCATACTTTTGTAACATACTTCAGTTGTCATCGACCAATTAATTGTCACAGTCATAAAGTCAGAGGCAACTTCGAATGTAACTATTACGGAAGTCACTGATGAATATAATTGAGTTGACGTGATTTTCAACAAATATTTGGATTAAATTTTGTATATTAAGAAAATAAATGTTTATTAAATAAACTATCTGTCATCATTTTCTGGAAAAAATTCACAATATTGTATTTTCTCATTGTGTACCATATTTTGTTCCTGTCATATTCTGTACTTTTTAACCTATTACTTGTATAAAATAATATCGATATTTCACATCTGCCAGCTGTCAACTGACAGCTTACTCTTTTTTCCTTAGATCTGAAAGTCTGCTTGACCACCAGGGACAGTTGCGCCTGTTGGTGGTCGCATTTAGGGATCAGCTGCGGTGGTACGCGTCTATGGGGAACTGGTTTAGCGTAAATGGTCTGCTTTCTAGTCCTGAAACCGTACCACTTCTATCAGGCTGCTCTCCCCGTTCATATTCATTCTTAGCGTATCCCGAAAGACATCCCAGTTTGCTTGGCACCCACTTTTAGCGTGAACTTTATGATTCTATGATCCGATAATTGAGGTTCCGATGACACCTTCCATTGTGAAATCATTCCATTCATTTGCTCATTACTCAATGTTATGTCGAGTACCTTCTTCCTACTTAGAGTGACGAATTTTACAATCCATAGTTCGGTTACTACTGACTATATATTCTAAGATAGATCTAATCGACGTTAGGATGAGAATGCTTTCCAAGCAGGTGGAGGCAGCGGTGATTTCTGCGAAAGCATTCTTCCTACTGTTTGGAGAGGAGTTCATTATGCTCATTAACTGGAAGCATAAGCGTCTCACTATGTAGATTTTCGATGGGAGACTTCTAGAGGTATCCTCATCATGGAATGCAGTGTTCTGGCAGGTCTGAAACTTCATAATCTGCATTCCACTGTATCCAGGCGACCATATCGGTGCGGCGTAGTTGAGGACCGCCCGGCCGATTGCCTTATAAGTTGCCAACAACGTTTCCTTGTCATTTATTAATGTGCTGCCGGCTAGCGATTTGAGGATTTTGTTGCGGCTCTGTACCTTGGCGATAATCGCGGTCGTATGAGGAGCGAAGGAACTTAGACTATCAAATGTCACCGTTCCAACGACAGTCAGAGCTATGTAACCGCAACGGACCCTGATTCCAGCCAAGGACTCTAACTCGGCAGAATTCTGCCGCTACCAGAACACCAACAATATCAAATGTTACACCTAAAATCTTAGGATTATTGACAGTCGGAATCCTGGCGCCATCGATTGCAATATTAAGCTCAAGTCTATACTCCTTCGTCCAGTTCGTGAATATGGCCGCTGTGGATTTAGTGGGGGAAAGTGTTGGGTACCGTGCAGAGAAGAAGCGAGAAAGGTCGGGAGATAGCTGTTTACCTTTGAACACATGCCATCGATTCCATTGGCCGACGTCAATATCGTGTAATGTACGAGGTAATGGAAACTCCCTCTGGTGACTGTGTGAGTTTCGGGATGTAGAAGTAGCGGGGAGATGTTTAATTCTTCTGAATTTATTCTATTTTAAATGTTTCTCCTTGAAACAGTACGGATGATTGCCGAGCGCTCAGGTAGTCTATCTGAGCGTTTATGATGCTTAGTGCTGTGCACTTTTCGGAATCCATGCTGGTGTTTGGCTAGGCTCACCTGTTGAGTGAAGTTTGGGAGTAGCAATTCCTCAAGTGTCTTCACTACTGAGAGTGGAGAATTATCGGACGATAGGACTCGTCTTTGTTGGCGGGTACGGTTGTCCATAGAAACAAAAGGAGGTTTCTCGATCGAGGTAATGAGGGGCAGATGGCTTGATGCGACTGTTAGCATAAACCGCCAGGTAATGCCATTTTTCAGACCACCACTAGCAATGGTAATATCGGGCGATTTATTACAGGTGCCCATAACTCTGGTGGGGGCTTCGTCATTCATTGTGCAGAATGTTAAATCGTCAATCTGTTCCGCCAGCTCCATCCCCCTATGATCGTTTGGCAGGCAAGAAAGGAAGATCGTGATGCACGTTAAATTCGCCTAGTACCAAATGGTTGTCACCACGAAGTAGCGCACCTATATTCGGGTGATATCCTGTAGGGTAACATATAACTGGGGGGATGTATATATTAAATATTTCGACCTCGATATCGCTTGACCGGATAGCTATACCCTGACATTCTAGGGTAGTATCCCACCGGACGATGCCTTCATCAGACAGAGTGGGAGCTATGTTGTATGTTTGATCTCCTGGGTACCGTAGAGGTCCTCTGTGGGCTACTCGGGGTGAGTTGCGGCGCAGCGTGCGAACTGGTGCAGATTTTACAGCCGTAGAGGGTAGTGTCGCTTTATTGTGTTGGCAACATGAGGCCAGGAAACTCGTGGTCAATATGAGTCTTAAGGCCTGAGCTGATCTTAAGATGGCTCCATCCATGCTGACCGAGGTGGAGTTTGGATGGAGCCGTTTGGCGCAAACGCAGCAGAAAAATTCCTCAGGGCCTGGGTTGGAGACAAACTTAGATTAATACTCACCGATTCAGTGATTTAAAACAACCCTTGGGCGGATAAAATCCGCGTTAATTCCTGTGCGTAAAACCGGCTGTCGCGGCTGCCTAGTGTGTTGCGGCCCGTACTGTCCTATTCCATGTGATGGACGTTCGCATCATCCCCGGGCAGCTTATGTCGCCTGCAGTGACTCACCAGTCTGCCCACAGCCTCTGGGGGTGCAGTGAGTGCTTCTCCCGGCAAGTAAGCTGCAGCCAGGACCAAGTCTGTTTGTTCGCTATCCCCGGCTTCCACAGCCACTAGGTCCTGCATCAGGAACTCTGAAATACAAAAGAAGTCAATCTTGTTCTTGATTACTATACAAGATCTAGATCTCTCGCCAGAGAAGTACCATCTTACCTAATTGGCGTCCATATTAAGGTATCTGACCTCCCCTTTGGTCTACAAGTTCTTGGATGAGCAGGATGCTCAGCTCATCGGCAGTGAACCCCCTGCCGGGGCATTGTACTCCGTTTTACACCTCTTCCATGCGGAGATCCTCCGGCCTTAACGTCTCCAAGGGATAGTTAAGAATCAACACAGCCATTCGGATGCCATTGAGAGCATTCGCATAAATGCAACGTAATGCGCATTTGTGTGAAATCCAGATATGAATTACACCAGACCCATAAAATACAATATGTTCTCAAGCAATCTTTTTATAAAGAAATACATCTGTAAATTTCTCTATCCCTAATATACACAATAACTATATTATATACTATATATTACTTCAATTAATTAAATTATTTTGAAAAAATATTCTTATTTCAAAAAAAAAAAAAATTAAGTGAATTTATTTTAATGCTAAATGGTTTTGTTTATTTAATTTTTTTTTAGTGTAAGATGCCATTTAGTCATGGAAACTTTAGGAAATAATCTGAAATTCTATAAGCTAATGACATACATATTTATAATATTATTATGAAAAAACACATAAATGTTTACGACGTCAATTTGGAATGAAACCTTGGTGCCGATTTCACTCACTGCACACATCCGAATGTTTATCCCAAGCAGTAACCTGTGGAAGACAAGTGAAAACACATTAGTTCAGCAACTCATTGGATTCAAAAATTGAATTTGTATATATTTAAAGTAAACTTACCTGGCACTCTCTGCTACAATACCATTGATTGCCACAACCAGCACAAACAAAGCGCGCCTCATGCATTTTACACTCTTGACACAATTGTAAATCACTGTTGTGCATATTGCGCGCAGCTTTGTGTGATGATTTTACATAATCCGACACATCATAGTAAGCGTTATGCTGCGAATTCTGAAGATGACATAAATGGGAAGATTTGTTATATACATATGTATATAATATGCAAAACTTTAAATGGTATTGCATTTAGCGTAAATCACAAAAAAATTATGTATTACGTTTTATATAATAGAGATTTAAGGCAAATGAGCAAGTACTTTAGTAAAAATTATACTTTTAACTTATACTCACCACATCTAGTGCCGTTCTTAGTAGTCCCGATTTGGAATTTTGTATTCTTTGTTGGTAGCGGTTAATGCAATTCACCGGCGTTATAGAAATTTCATTACAACCACTATCACTCTGCAGACGATAGTAACTTTTTTGGCTTTCTGTATTAAATTTAAATCCTTGGGTTGGTGGTGCATTCGGTTTGCTGTGTAAAGAGCTGTTATTGCGCGACGATGTACTCAGTAATTTTTCTAACGTCGGTGTATAATTGGAGCCATTGCAGTTATATGACGACTCTATATACATATTATTGGCGTCAATACCCTGTAAGTACATACCTTAGATTCACATTTTTGTATTTTAAAATCTAAAAAATAAAAACTCACAATTGGCGGCGTACTTAAAGGTCTAACGCTGTAATTACCATCGATGGTTTTAATACGTTTACCAACGCGAGGAAATACAACAGGATTTTGTTGCCGGAAGTCAGCAACCATACTCTTTACGTCGACAAAAGGGCCCTGTCGTCCGATTTTCGATTTCATTTTCTGTTCTAAATACTGATACTTTTGAAGCTCCGGACTATCCTCATTAAAAGTGGTTTGATGTATCGCCGATACATAGTTTTTCGTGTTCTTAATATCATAGTTTGACGTTTCCGCACGCTGTAGAATGTTGTTTGAAATTAAAATGCTGCAATTTAATAATACATATATATTAATTTGTATAGAGGAATTATTCAATAGTTAATACGAACTTTTGTAAGCGATTTGTATTATTGCGCTCCCTTTGCAACTCTTCGGTTTTCATGCTTGCACGATTTTCGATGAGTTGATGTGTAGTTGAGATACCAACATTGACTGAAGTCGACGGGTGCGGCTTGGATAAATACGTTTCCAGCTCTTTCAAGGCTTGTAAATTATATTTGTGTTCTTCATATTTCCCCTCTTTTATTCCCAGTATATGCTTCTTTCGTTCTAATCGAGCAAGCATTTCTTCTTTAACCTTTTTCAAATTCTGTAACCGATTCCACTCTGTCTCTTTTGCTTCAAGTATGTCATTCAAAGTTTGTATGTCTAACATTAAACGTGTCATATTCTCATCGATGGCATCCAATGTAGTACAATTGTGTTTCACATGGTTTCCAAGTACCACATCGTATTTAGGAAACAGCTCATTGATTTGTCTATACAATTGTGTGGTTGTTGGCCGATCTGGTTGATGTTTTTTGTTTTCATTGCAATTGCTTTTTGTTATTGGCGAAGGGGATCGGGATCTTTTTTTGGTAGTATGTTGCTGCGTATGCGCTGGCAATTCCTAAAAAAATGTATATACAAATATTTGAAAAAAAAACAACCTTATCGCAATATTTAATTTTCCTACAACGTTTATTACTTGTATTGTTGGTTTTTCCAGTAGAGGACTTTGTACTTCATCTGAATCATTTTGCTTTTCTACAAACTCCTTTTCCGGGTTTTCAAAAAACAGCGGTTTTGTAACTACATCTTCTTTTGGTATTTCTCTGATTTCGTCTTCGAACTCTTTTTTACTTTCCTCATTATTTTGGTGTGGAGAAATATCCTCTACATCTGATTCATCTAAATCAATAGTTTCTGATAAGTTATTTGTCAATTTAACCTCCTTATTATTATTAGTGGGATTATATTCTCTTTCACGCGTATGAGATTCAATGATGGGGATGTTTTTCCTTTTTAAACATAGTAAATACTCCTTACTTTTTTCCCGTTTCGCTTTTCCACTTAGCCTGTTTAAATATATATATATATATTATAGAATATATATATATTATTAGAAAATATATAGCTTATACTAATGATTACGTTATATACCATTTCAAAGCTTTAGCTTTATATTTGCTACACAGTTTTCTTTTAAACGGCAGTCTCTGCTCTTTTCTTAAGGATCGTATGGAAGGTGGCATATCATATATCCGATTAGAACTTTCCCGCTTGCTTTTTTGCTGCGAACTTATGGCGACATTCATAAGTTCATCATCATCCTCTTCGCTATATTCATCACTGCTTATAAGGTTCTCCGTGTCGTCGTATATATCCAGATTTGACATATTAAAGAGCCTAAAAAGAGTATAACAAATAAATTTTTGCTTCATCTCATCAAATAAAAAAGTATATTGTATATAAATAATTAAAAAAATAAACATATTTTTACATTTGTTCAATTATCCTAATTTGCTACTAGTCACACACGGATACATCAAACCTTATTAACGCTTGGCATTGATGCTTCGTTTTCCAGCCGGCTTTACGTGAAAAACTATCAACTATAATTTATCATGAAAGTCCACTGATTGTTAATAGCTGGAGTCCAAAATACTTACTGAGTTTATTGCCTACGTAGTAGCAATTCTTTATAATAATTCCCACTCCAATACGCTATTTCAGCATTAAATTTTACTACTATAATAAAATTTGCACTAGCAGTCAAATGTTATAGCGATGGTCATCACAATTTAAAACAATCGATTGCTTCCGATAAGAGTTGCCTGCACTTCTGTTGGTTTAGAAAATTGGCTATATCAATTATAAATTTAGTATAGGGGTATTCAGACCAACTTCGTTAATTCGTTAGTCGTTATAGCAGAACCAGTGACAAACGCTACTGCTTTCCTTTCTTTTCCTTCCTCATCAGCAAAATGTTTGAGCAATGAAAAACGTGGCAAAAACGAAGAATTCAGCCATCTTTGTTGGTTTTAATTTGCACAATGTTGCTATTGCTCTATGTTTTCAGTTACAATTTTTTATAATATAAAATATCAAAACTGAAAACAAACTATTAAAAATAGTTTGTATATTTATAAATAATAGCATGCGACTCCAATTTTGAGTTATTTTAAGAAAATTTCAAACATATTGAACAGATTGAATTATAAAAGTTCATATTTACTACAGTATATCGATATTGGCAAACCTGCGTTGTCAGAGAGCAAGCAGCTGCCACGTTTCCGCGGTAAAAATCCAAACGCCGTGAATTCTCACGTCATGGATAATATGATACGAAAACTCACATTTTTTATAACATTTGCCAATGATGCCACTGCTGAAAAATATTAGATTGGGTATTAAATAAATTATACAAAACACTAAATTAAACACTTTGAAAATGCATACATATATAAATGCTAAAATGAAAAATCATTAGTTAATTTACACAAACATTTATTTTGCCACAATATGTTCGCACAGTTCAATGAAATTTCATTTCACACTAATTTCGTCAGGTAATTATAGCGATTTACTTCTGGCATCCCGCCTTTTCTGAAATCAACTGTCAGAAATTCCCTGATCTCCATCGCTGTCAAATAATCAGGGAACGCGTTTGAGAGAAAAAGAGAGCCAATGCTAAAGTCTTGTATCATATTATCCATGCTCACGTCATCCTACGTCAAAGAGTTTTTCACTGTTCCTGCTATTACTCAGGGGTTTTGTTTTTGTAAAATTAACAGAATATCGTTTTACCGAGTAACGAAGTACCAGACTAGCAAGCATGATAGTTTTTTCGTTACTAACATAACATCACTCAGCTGTTTTGTTTGCGCAGTTGCCTCAAAAGTTAATTTAATTCACATAACAACTCATCATTTAGATAATAATTAGCTGGTATTCTGATATGTGACTATGAGTAGGATACAGTAACACATTTCGTCTGCATATAGCAAAAATTCTGATTGAAAGTTATCGCCAATATCGTTTACGAAGATATTAAAGAGAATATGCCCCAGATGTGACCCCTGAGATTACATTACACTTAGCATGCAGGTATCCGTCTTCTTTGACTTGGAAATGCCTAACTGTAAGATATGATTGAATAAAACACAGTGCATTACCGCATATACCGTATCTTCTAAGTTTGTTTGGCAGAATAGTATGATCCACCCTGTCAAAAGCCTTTCTGAAATCGTTGTAAATGGTGTGAGCTGAGTGGCCATTGTTTAGTGCATCTAGTAGATAATTTACGTGATAAACAGGTTAAAGGAAGTCGACCTTCCGCCGACGAAACCATGCTGCTTGCCGGTGAAAATATTTGTGAAGAATGCAGTGAGTTGTGGGAGAACTATCTTCTCGAAAAGCTTGGCCAAAGCTGATTGGATGCAGACTGGCCTCTAGTTAACG